GATGAAAAATACCACCACTAGTCAGGACTTGTTTGGGAGTGTTGTGGATTGTTTGGAAAAATGCCTTGTCATGGAATAGAATAGTAAACATTACAACAGATGGGACCAAAGCATTTACTGGAAAAAATGTGGGTATGATTAAACTATTAGAGAACAAGTTAAAAGCAGAACGCCCATATCTTGTCTTTTCATTGTATTTTTCATCAGGAAAGCCTTTGTAAAGCTTCACTGGACCTAATGCATGTGGTAGATCCTGTAGTGATCATAGTAAACACTATCAGAGCAAGGACACTCAATCATCAACAGTTTAAATCTCTGCTTGAGGACATGGAGGCAGAGTATAGAGATGTGATTTAGCAGATGTGTTTAGTGGCTGAGCCTGGGCAAAATCCTAAATGGGTTTGGGAATTATAGAATGAAATCCTCCTCTGGACATAAAGGGAATTTCATGTGATTTTGTGACCAAAATGGGATGTGAAGAGTGGATATATGAGATGATATTTGCAGATGATATGTTTGAGAAATTAAATGAATTGAATATGACATTGCAGGGAAATGTTAAGACATGTGAGTGCATCCAAAACAAGACTAAGTCTATTTGCAAGGCAAGCAGATAAAGGCAAGTTTTGTCATTTCTCTTTTATAGAAAATACAGAAAGTATATGCAAGTGTTTCTTTCAAGGTCACTAGAAGATTTCAGGACTTTAAGAAAATTGAGCCTGAATTCAATTTATTTCAATTTGCCTTTTACTGCTGATATTGATACAGTACCTGAGGAGGTGCATCTTGAACTAATTGAAGCAAAAATTACACTGAAAGAAAGATTTTGACATTGATAGAATTTTTTATTACTGCATCCTGGTAAGATGTTAAAAATCCATGTCCTGGGTTAGACAATAAACTACGTCCAACTGCAAGACCTCTGATCAGGAGGTTTTTGAGGAGTGTGGAACCACCTTTTAATTGCTGGTGTTCCCAGATTCACCCTGACCTGGGGTGGTGGCACCTGTTGGGGGTCCTAGCTATGGGAAAATAGTTAAATATTACCAGCAATACAATTTTGAAGGAAAAATATTACCAGAAAAAGATTTTTGACAAAATAAAATATTACCACCAATAAAAATTTTTTGTTGGCATTAAATAACCCATTGAGGTTGATATGCCATAAAACAAAATAAACCAAACCAAACTCTATATACTGACAAATTTCCATGTGTGGAGAAATTTGCTGGGAAAATGTTTTCTATTTTTGGATCCATATATATTGGCAAGCAAAGTTTTTCTTGCATGAAAATCAACAAAAGATAAAAATAGATCCTCTTTGACGGACATAAACTTGCCGCAAATTCACTCCAGATTTCAGAAGAATTATAAAATGTGTGAGTGTTTACATTTGTCTAATCAAATTATTTGTGCTAGCTGATGTGTAATTTGCACATAAATAAATTTAATGAAACCTTTTCTGTGTATCACTATTGTTTTAGTTTTATTTATTATTATTATGCAATTTACACTTTGCATTAAATGAAATGTAATGTTAACTAATGAATATCTTTTAGAAGGTGCAGCCTTTGCTAGCCATGACCCTCTCAAAGTGGCCCCTGAGACAAAACAATTGCTTACTTCTGCACTAAAGTATTCTTCTAATTGTTATTGTATTAAACAAATCTATTTTATTCCTTTCTGCAATCATTATTTCATTTTTAAAATATACTGCCATTGTTACCAATTTCCTATTCTTGGTATTTACTACCATGTTTAGCTTAGTATAACAATGACTTAAGTGCTGTAAAAAATTAGCACTGTGAGACAATGGAGCAGTGTTTTTCAACTTTGTAAGACTGACATCAATAGTTTAAAGACTAACATCAAACTGAAATGGTTTGAGATATCCAGGGACTTTCTGGTTAACAATTGCACAATTTTTCAAAGTCCTATTAAGTGTGTAATCAAAAATAATGAAAGCCTCATTGAATAAATTATTTATTCTTATATTTTCAATGATTTATATTAATATATTATTTCTGTTAATAAATAAATTCATGCCAAATAAGTAAATATCAGAGGATGTACTCATTTTGCAAGTTACAATTTCCCATTTTGTTTTATGCAAATCATGAGTATGACATCCATAAGTACCTATTATTGAATCTAAAATTTCAAAACTGGTTATTTTGGATGAAGGATTTTTCACTGTTAATTTCATCCAACTTCCTATGAATCTCAGATCCCCTTTTCATCGGTCTTTAGCCTTACTAGTGAGCCCTTCTGTTGAGGAATGAAGATTTTGTATTTAAGTTCTTCTAGATGTTTTGGAAGTATCTTGACATTGTTGCTGAAGCTGCTCACAGAATCCAGGAAGCAAAAAGAAATGAAATAATTTCTGACCACAATTCCCCAAAACCAAATCATCTGTCAATTATGATGCAAGATAAACCACCAACATTTGAAGACTTTCAGAAAAACAAGGATCATCAAAAGAGACAATATGTAGAGCATTTCATACGCTTACAAACTCACAGGAACCCTCAAAATGTTCCCTGTGAACAAAAAAAGACAATACTTTTGATACAACCGAATGCAAAAATTAAATTTAGTGCTCTGCAGAGAATCTAAAATAATTATAGAAGCTCAAAGCACAAAAGCATAATTTAAGCTGCAATGCAAAACGCACAGTAATTCCATTTGCAAACAAACATATGCATTTGTAGTTAAGAACAAATATAAAACTTTGAAGATGGTAAGAAATTCAAAGTGAAACACCTTAACCCTTTGATCCCTGCATTCATGAACAATTTTAATCCTTCTGCTTCTGCTCCTGAGTCAAAATTTGCAAATAATTGGTATGTAATGTTTCACAGTAGATATAAAAATAGTTACAAGTGTTTACCCACCATTCAACTGGTGGCTGGGCATTAAGTTATTTTTTTCTACCACTGTTCAACCAGTGGCTGGACATTATGTCATTTTTTTCTAACACCGGTAAAGCAGTAGTCAGCGCTCAAAGGTTAACATGATTTGATAATTTCATACACTGTCTAAAACAAATTTAGTAATATACAGAAGGAGGAGGAAAAGGTAGCTAAGGAGAGAAGAAGTGACTAAGCATAAACTACAAGAAGACGGAAACAAGAGTCAGACAATACTAACACGCTACTTTCTTTAACTCTTTGAGCCCTGTGTTCCTGAACAATTTGAACCCTCCTGAGTCAAAATTCATAAATAATTGGTATGTCATGTTTCACGGTAGATATAAAAATGGATTACAAGTATTTACCCATTGTTCAACCAGTGGCTGGTCATTAAGTCATTTTTCTCTACCACTGTCCATTTGTGTCAAGTGCAATGAGGTTATCCAGAAGAATGAAAGACAAGAAATGAATGCCAAGTGAAATTTTTGATTGAATGAAAGAGAAACAGCAGATAACAGTAAGGAATGGTGCAGAATATATTAGGTTAAAGAAAAACACCAGTGCAAGCAAGCAGAAGAGAAATTACTACAATAGAAATATGCAGAGAATGCAAATAGGTGTAGAAGGAATGCTGAAAACATAAAAGAACTAGGAGAGAAAATGTCTTCTGTGGCAGAAATATAAGACCATAATTAGAGAGAACAATCATAAGGGAAAAGGCAAAGGTACAACAGTGATGGAATAACTACATATAAGCACATTTCCATGACAGCAAAGAAGAGAAACCTCCAATACAAAAAAGCATTAAAAACACTGTAATATTAAAATCTGATGTTAGGTCAGCACTGGCCAAGATGAAGAGCAATGAAACAACAGGAACAGATCAAATTAGAAACAGTTGCAGATAGCCTTAAACAATTTGGGGATTGATAAGTTTACCAGAGTTATAAATTAAATATATGACACTGGTGAAATACTGGAGGAACTCAGTAGATCTTTGTAAAACTACAAAAGACATCGGATACAAATGGATTCACTCAGATAACTAAATTAATAATTAAAATTCTAATGTTTACAGCTTGTAGGGGGATTAGAACAGAGAAGAGAAATAGGGCATAAACAATGTGTTTTGTTTCAAGACACCAGTACAATAAATGTAATTTTCAAGATCAGAATACTGTCAAAACAAGCAACAGAAATGAAAAAAAAAGATCTATAGCATGTTTTGCACATTACACAAAGCATTTGAAATGGAATGTACCAGAAGGTAATGTTTATAATTTTGAAACCTAAAAAATCTAAGTTACATTTTCTTTCTCTCACCAAAAAAACCCAAAAAAACAAAACATTACCTATTTTTCATTAGTTCCCACCCCTGACCCTGGAATAGAAGTGTTAACAAAATAAACAATATATTAATTCCCATTGGTTAATAATATTTTAGTTTTGTGGTAAAACAAATGCTATACTTTATTTTACTAATCTTCTTGAGGCAAAATCTGACCACTTGATTGATCTGAGACATAACTAATACTAAAAAGACTACCATGACTAACCATTTGTAAGAAAGTTTGAAATATTTTGATTTTTCAAAATCAAATTACTGTTAAATTTTCACTCCAAACTAGCATGACAAATTGATTTTCTAGTTGACAAGAAAAGGAAAATGTTTTCTTTTTAGGCTTTCATACTTTCAAATACTGGACCTAATATTTTGAAGAAGACAACCAAAAAAGTCCTCACATTAGATAACAGCCTCTTCACCACTGAATTTTGGGATATCATTTCACCATTTTTGTTTCTAACTTGTTTATTATTATTTATCTGCAAAATAAATCAAAGAACATTTTTGTTTTTGATTGTGATATACTTTTTTACATTCATCCTAGTGCATTGATCTTAATTAGAGACAGTGAAAAGGTATTAAATGAAATAAGATGATATGCTAGTTCCATTTATCAGTAAATGTAGATGTGCACTGTAGTGAAAATTAACTGGATAATTTATGTCTTTTTCTTTTATTCCATGAATTATTATTTCTGTTTGTTTTTTTTAATCTATTTAATTCTTTTGACTTTTGGTGTCTAGGAAGAAGACTGTCGAGCCATGATTGAGAGTGAAGTCAACGAAGACGGCCAAGCAAAGACAGATGTAAATGTGATCGCCAAAACTCCATCAACACCATCCACTCCAATCCCACCTGAAAAGTAAGCAAAAAATGAAATATCTCATTGTCTTACTTTACTCAGCACAACTACAAACCTCTTAGGGGATCGATATCATCCTATAAAATTGTGAAAGATGTCAACCACAGTGACATTTTTTTATCATAGTTTGCTAGTGATAATAAAATGACTGGAAGTAGAACTTAGATTCTAGTTCCAACCAAACATAATAGATTTAACAATTAAAAGTTATATTCTTAAACTGATTCACTTTAACATTTGTATATATCATGTCCATTCATACGTAGATAATCATAGCACTCCACAGATTCAATTTCTTTAACATGTGTGAAATACAATGGTTTTCTCAAAAAGATAATGTAGTAGTTTCCTTTTTTTTCAAACGCTTTAAAATTTTCTCTTATAATCCTTCTGTTAGACTGGCTACCATCCAAGGCTAGAGAGATCTCCTTATCCTATTTTAAGCATTACTAAGGAAAAAGAAATGATGGATTAATGCCTTTCCTAAGGGCATTTGTGTAAAAGTGAATGCAACAAAGTTGAGATTTAAACTTAACTGACTGAATTTTCTTTTCCATTTTGAAACTGTAACCAAGGAAAAGATTACTGAATGAGGAATAATGAAAATGGAAGTTGGAAATGAAATGGTAATCTTTATAACAACGACAAAATACAATACTTGCTGTCAGTGTGAAGTAGGTAAACAACTGCTGGTGGTGGACTACTTAGACAGCATATTACCCCCCTCCACTTACCATAGCGTCCAACGTATTTATGAGGATTGGAACATAACCATTAGTATTCATAGGTATGGTATATAACAGAAACACAGGTGAAACAGTTCTTGGTTCATTTTTAAAATAATTTTTTTCAGCATTTAAAATTTGAATAATCCAATCTATTTTATGCTTCTTAAATATTGCTTGGGTTAATCATATGAACAAATTGGCTCTTGTGCCATGGGAACCTAAGCTTAGCAAATACAAATTATATAATCAGATCAAAAGAATTGAACTCTTTAGGTTTTACTAGAAACAAATGGCAAAAAGAAGCAATGGATTCCTATTGTTATGGTTAACAATAACCTAAATCTTGTATTATTAATAACATACTCAAACAAATGCCAAATACAGGTCAGTGCCAATAAAGCACAGTTTGGGGTCCAAACCTTTTATGCTCAGTTTAGATGGTCTGCAGTTTAGATCAAAAGTGAGCTGCGATGTCATGAATGCCAGCTTAGACCACCAAAACAATGCTTGTCATGTCTATAGAGTTATCCATGAAAATGGGTAACTGTTGAGATGTTTGGAGTGTTCCCACGTGTGTGTATTCAAATAAAGACAAACACAGATGTAGGGGAAAATACTGGTATATTTGAAGAGGTATTTAACAACAGAGTGTTTGGTAATAACAAATGCCGGTTAGTAATAAAAATCAGCTAGTGTCTAATGTCCAACGGTAACTTCTGGTAGAGAGAAGGAAGTGTAATGGTAACCTGATCTCCAGATCTCTCTGATCTCTCTAGCACTGTCCTATATCGTAGAGGGATCAGTCCATTCTTAGTCAGAAGGTGGGTTCACCCCAACAGTAACACAGTGGTTAAGCATATAAAATGCGTATTCAATATTAAGAGTTGAATATTGCCAGTTTTGAAAAACATTTATTAAGACTATCCTTTAACTTCACATAAAAATCTGCACCAGTGTGAATAAATTTGAAAAGACAACTGCTTAAAATGCTTCCAGTTATAAAGTGCTATGTCAATAGATCCATCATTGATGACAGAAAAAGATGGCGTAAATCTTGCATGCATGAGATTTTAACAAGAAAATAATAAAATTAATTTTTTTATAGTTTTATTAAGATTTTGAATAAAAACATTACAATAAATTGTATAGTAATTTATTAATAAAAATAATATAACAATACAATGTAGTAGCACGACAAAAAATTTGGGGGTCCATCATGCATATGTGGCTTAAACAACATCATGGCTTAATGGTGCATGACTTAATGGCACTGACCTGTATACTGAAGGACATTGAGAGTTTAAAAACAATCCAATGCTATGCCCATTTTGTCAGTTGAGTTATTTCATCTATTTGATGCCAACATAATTCTTTATTTTATTTGACACCAATTTTCAGTTTATGGAGTATGTGTGTGTGTGGGGAGGGGGGCTCACACTTATGACAATCATGAGCTGTTAATTTAATTTTAGATTTTTTTAAACTTTTTTGGTTCCAGACTTCACTTTATAGCATGCGTGCTGACAATCTGAAACTGTGAACATGATATCAGCATAATCCTTGGAAAAATTAAACCAAGCAACAATGTGACATGCTTTGTGAAAAGGGGTTCCTCTTGGTCGGTTTCTATACAACCCATCTCTGTTTAAACAATGTTGTATTGTGCAAGTACTTATGCTGATACCCATTGTATCCAAAATTTTGGCGATGTCTTTCAAAACAACTCTTGGGTTTATATGAACCTTGCAACAGAGTTTTCGTGCAGTTCTCAGTGACAATTTCAGTTTTCTTCCGTGACCAGGGAAATTCTCTGTCATGCCAAACTGTTTAAACTTCTTTATAACAGACTGTACTGTAAATCTAGGGATAGCTAACCGGTTTAAAATAGTGCTGTAACTATTTTCTGACTTGTGGAAGTTAATAATTCTCTGTCTGAAGTCATCTCTAAACTCCATTGTCTTCTCCATCATTTTATTAACGTAAGAATAACAATGATAACATTCTATGCACCACGTGATGTTCTTTGCTGAAATTATCACAAATATTCTACAGAATACATAGTCTAGAATGCTTCACTAATAAAATAATTATGTAAATTATTTATGAATCAATTAATTTAAAATAATATTTTCTACTGTAAGAATAATTTTGTCTTCCTATTTTGCATAATTTTCCTGTCAAATTTGTTGTATTTAACCTATTGTTCTGAAAATCGAGTTTTATATTCCTTTTTATGTGCTTATTAAAATATAAAAACCTGGTATCATATGTGCATTAGATTTTGAGAAATGGATAAAAATATTCAAAATTGATGGGTGTACAAATAATTTTGTTGTTGTCTGTGTATATAAAAATTTATATTGATCTTGAAATGAGATTGTTTTTATGGTTATGTCTCAGGAAGAGTTAAGAGTATGGCTTTTTTTGAAGTTATAGCCAGAACTATTGAATTGGTTTTGAGTCATATTATAGATACTACTAAAATCTGCACACACACACACACACACACACAAAATCACACTCACACGCACATGCATATATGTTGAAAAATTAAATCCAACCCCCTATTTTTAATCAAACCAATGCAATTTAACATTATAAGATCATGATTGTCAATTTGTACAATCTGTGAAATAAAAAAATAGTGGCTAGTAATTTTTTCTGTTTTTAAACACCATATTCCTTAAGGTGATTATGGCTGCCCACAGCTTCCCTTTCTTTAATATCTGTAAATTGCCAGGATGTTTTAGGCAAAATAATGGAGAGGGTTCCTACTGTTCTCTCTAGAGTTTTGAATTTAGACCAGACCTTCTCCTTGATTGACTGTCATGCAATTCTATAGAGTCCAGTTTACCCTGCTATTTAACCCATAGCTGAGGATGAGGAGGATGAAGAAATGGATTTATATCTTTTCCAAAGGCATTAGTGTGAAGTTAACCCAACTCAGTGAGAATTTAAATTTAGTTAAAACCTAACCCTACCTGCACATTGAATTGAAGATCATAGGTTGGCAGGGAATAATCAAAGCTGAAGAGAATTCCACTTCAGTCTTCTATTTTCATGTTTTTTGTTTAATGATTTGTTTTTGCAACAATAAGCTCATTCAAGTTGCATAATGTATCAACTGAAACCTTATTGTTATGACTGCATTCACTCTTGACTTGTCTGGCTGTTAATTTTGGATCGCCTGTTGAGATTCTCACCATTCTTTCTTTCATCTCTCTTGTCTAACTTTTGTCCTTTTCCAGTTTTCCTTGCACTTAAAACACTTTCAGTAAAAGTAAAAGTAAACACCTCATATAGGGTTTGAACATTGTTTCTCTCCTCTTCATCTTTCCATCAAACTCACACTCTTCATGTTTGTTTCAGTAGAAATTTTAGCCATAATTTTAGTGTAAAAAAAGCAAACTAATGTTCAACTACAATGATTTGTCAAGGCACCTTATACTCATTCAAATAAGATGGAACAATCTTGACTTAAAAATCCATAAATTATCATGTTTATCATCTCAGATCTTTCATTAGGCCAATAGTTTTGGATGGCCTTTTGCAGCTTCAAGTTGCTTAAAGTGCTGTATCTTCTTTCATATAGCACTTATAAAAATACAATAAATTCCAATCCTGAAGGTCCACAGACAGTACTGATAAAAGCATACTGTCAAACAATCCTAACTTCTTAACAAAATAAAGGAGTTTAATCATTTTATGGAGTTGTCCTAAAACATGGCAGTGTATAAAATGTATATATTTTCTAAACTTTTTTTAGATATGAGAGACAAAAAAAAGAAACCATTAGAACAGAACTCATAGTTACATCTATCTATTTCAATAGTAAATTGATGAGACCTAATTGCCAATCAAGTAGCCAAGGCACCAATGAGGAGAATTCATTATATCTATTCCTATGAAAATATTTATAGAAATGACAGAAGGAAGCCACATCATGGCAATGGGAAACTGACTGAAGTTGAGATGCCAGGTGAAGACTGATAATATCACAATCCCTCCTTTGGATTTTGTTGAGAGTCTCAAGATATATAGCAGGGATACCAGATATGGTGGCAATATTCAATGCTTGAATGGACGGTAATTTTATAAACGTGCAAGATGGATTCTGGCAAGAAAAATTGTCTGACACAACAGATTAAACCAACTTTTTTATGAACAGACCTAGCAGTTGATTCAAAATAATAATTCCACTTCATGTCAGAGAAAATCATGAGATGGTGCAATGGTTTTCTCTCCTTGAGGTTAACATCAATCATCCTGACGGATGGCAAAAATAGTTCTCTATGATGATTAAAAGAGAGTAGTTTTGTTTTGGAGGTGTTAAAAGTTACAAGCCATTTTTTGACCCAGTTAACAACTGATTGGGAGTCATTTTCAAGAGCAGCTGCCAGTTTTAATTTATCAGACCTATGAAGCTTACTATTGAGACAGAAGTAAATAATTGTGTCATGAAGATAAATACTGAATTGGGAACTGATGACAGCAAGAAAATTGTTGATTAAGATAAGAAAACAACATAAGTCCAAGGATTGATCCCTGGATTGCACCTGAACTAATGTGAAAGGTTCTGGAAGAGCAGCCATTCAACATGACATTTATTACACGATTTGTTAAGAAAGATTGGATCAAGCCAAATATTTGGTCAGAGACACCATTGCACTTCAGCTTGTGATGAAGGTCAGCATGCCAAACTCTGTCAAACACTTTTGAGATATCATCATCTTCCTGAGTCTGTCTATATTTCTGAGATGAAGTATTATGTACATTATCAAGGACACATGGCACAGTGGATAAAGGCATTGGTTAGATTCAGTGACAGGACCTAAAGAGTGTGAATTCAATACCCGGTTAAGGCAGTGGAGAACTTTCAGAGGGAAATTAGCAGGAAATAACTGATAACTGACATCCATCAAACATGGCACATGGAACTAGAACAGTCTATCCCAGTAAGCGAAATAAAGGGTTCAGTTCAAAATTCCAACCGCCTGAAGAAGGCCAGAGCATACAACGGCCAAAACGTTGTGATAAATATGGCGACAAAGATGAGGACAACAGTTGAGTCTGGTTAGTACCTAGATGGGTATATGCCTTAAGTTTAGTCACTCTCAAGTCAACCAAACATTTTGACTCATCAAGTTCCAAAAGTTTATTTGGAAGTGATGGAAATGTTTCAAGAATCTGTTTGTAGGTAAAGACCTGGACTCTCACCTGACAAGTGGATTCTCCACCATGAAAATGTTTAGCTTACGGTCATATTTGTCTTTTAGATGGTTTGAACACTGTTTCTGGAAATTCCCAGCTGTCTGGCTATCTTTCTTTGAATCATCTTCTCCTATGATATCACAACCTTCATCTTTGTTTCAGCAGAAATTTTAGTCATGATTTTAATGTAAAAAAGCAAACTAATGTTTAACTACAATGACTTGTCAAGGCACCTTATACTCATGGTAATAAGATGGAGCAATTAATACTTAGAAATCTGCATATTATCATGACTTTCATTGGCCCAATAATTTTTTACATGGTCTTTTTATTCATTTTCAATCTACTAAAAGCAGTGTATCTTCTGTTACATGACACCTATAAAAATACAACAATTTTTTTCCCATCCTGAAGGTCTGCAGACACTATTGATAAAAGCATACTGCTAAAAAATATTAAATTCTTAATAAAATAAAGGTATATAATCATATAAGCAATGTTGAGCCTGGTTAGTACCGAGATGGGTGACCACTTGTGAATACCTCAAGTTTAGTCATTCTCAAGTCAACCAAACATTTTGACTCTTCAAATTCCAAATGTTTATTTGGAAGTGCTGGAAGAGTTACAAGAACTTTTTGTAGGAAAAGACCTGGACTCTGACCTGCAAGCAAATTTTCCACCATGACAATGCTTGGCTTATGGCCATATTTGCCTTTTAGATGGTTTAAACACTGTTTCTGGAAATTTCTTTTTGAGCCATCTTCCCCTATAAAGTCACAACCTTCATCTTTGTTTCAGCAGAAATTTTGGTCATGAGTTTAGTGTAAAAAAGCAAGCTAATGTTCAAGTACAATGACTTGCTAAGGCACTTTACACTCATTCCTACATAGAAAATTACATATTATTATTTTCATTGATCCAATAATTTTGCATGGCCTGTTTTTCAGCTTCAAGCTTCTTAAAGTGGTGTATCTTCTGTTACATTGTACCTTTGAAAATGCAACAACTTATTTTCTAAACACACTACTGATAAAAGCAAACTGCTAAACAATCTTAGTGCATATTAGTGCATACATATGTTTGAGTATATATGCAACTTTTTTTAGACAGTGCAAATTTACAATTACCAGCATGTGCATTTGATCCTTAATAGAAAAAAATGTATCTTCAGCACACACACACACACACACACACACACACACACACACACACACATATATATACAGGTAAAATGAAAACAAATGGAGTATAATGCCACTGTCCATAACATTTAATTTAAAAGTGAATTTTGGAGTAACTTTTTTGAGGATGAAATGGAACTAATGCTTTTAATTTAATTGCAAAATTAAATTTGGGGCTTTTAGCTTCTATTTTTGAAACATGGTTAGAACTATGTAGCGAAAAAAAACATATTTTAAATCAATTAATTTATAATATTATGCTCTGTAAATTTACATTGAGCACTATTTTGTAAAAATAAAAATATCTATAAGAACACCGGATTATATATCTTACTGTTCTTTCTTTTTATTTATATACATATATGCATATATATATATATATATATATATATATATATATATATATATATATATATATATATATAAAAATATATATATATGTGTGTGTGTGTGTGTGTACATGGAAATCAACACCCACAGGCTGTTTCACGCTAAATACAATCATCAGGCCCAATACTGAGCACTTTAACCCATAAATATAGCATACCTTAAAACTATATATATATATATATATATATATATATATATATATATATATATATATATATATATATAAAGAGTGAAAGAAAGAGAGAGAAGATGTTGTAACATATAAAGCTAGTTTCTACTCCCAATAAGTTACCAGCAGAGAAGAATATATTGAAAATAGTAGTGCGATTAATTCAACAGACGTAAGAGAAGCTATGAAAAATATAAACCAAAGTTAACTGAAATATTCTCAAGGTGAATATTATTTTTCATTTTTGAAAGGAAAAAAAATCAAGTCCTTTATTTTTAGGATGCAATTAACTTCTTGAGTCTTTTTCATTTTACACTGTAGAAATATGAACAATCTGTTTCAGTAATAATGAAGCATTTAAAAATAGAAATATCTGAATGAAATGATGTTTTACATATTTTTTTGCTAAATTTATTTCATCCTTTTCACATTAGAAATTCAGAAAATGCATTAAAGAAATAAAAACTCAAGAGAAACAATTTCAAGAGTAAAAATAGATAAAAAGTTAATTATACTTTTTGCTAATTGCTGCTAATTGCTAATTGTTAATTAGTACCTTATAACTGCAGATTAATAATTTTTAGTTGATAAATTCTCTAAAAATCTTACCAAATCTTGCTGTATTCAATTTTTTAGTATTTTTATTAATATTTAAAGAAGATTTTCAAATAAAAAAAATCAGTTTTTTAAAAGTAATTTTTAAACATTTGAATACATTTTTATGCTTAAAAGTTTTGAATTTTTCATAATTTTAATAATGTTTTCCTTTTGCAGTATCCTTGATCCTCCTATTGAAGTTCATCCAGTTCAAATTATCAAAACTCGCGCCTTCTGGACTCTTGCAGTCATCTTCCTTTTCAATGGATTAGGAGTCATTATTGTTTCTGCAATGTTTAAGGTAAGATTTTAAAAAATCTTTCACCCCCCCCCCTTTCTTTTCATGAGAATCACAATGACTTATCTCACTTTCTGGAAATACTTGTCTTAGTATTATGATTATAGTGAGATCAATTATCACTTAGTGCTGTTACCATGTGATTATTGGTTAACAAGTTAGACTAACAGAAGATTACTACTGGAGTGAAGCTGATCCTCTCCAGGTGTCCCACACCTTTGGTTTTGGACCAGACTAAGTGATGTGGAAGAAGATTATTAGAGTATCTCAACATAGAGCAATGGTTAATAAGTTTGTCTAAATTCTCATGGATTGTCTTAACATAAAAAATAATTAGTGAACAAGTCTTCTAGATCATTAAGCTTGGAAAATATTTGATCCTCACACTTGTGTACTCTGATGATGCTGCCACCAATGATGATGATGATGACAATACCACCAATGATGATGATGGTGATGATGATGATGCTGCCACCAATGACAATGATGATGATGATGGTAACACCAATAATGACGATGATGACAATGATGATGATTACACTGCCACAAATGATGATGATGATGATGATACCAATGATAATGATGATGATGACAATTATGATGATGATGATGCTGATGATGATGATGATGATAATGATGCTGCTGCTGATGATGATAATGATGCCACCAATGATGATGATGATGATGATGAAGATGATGTCACCAATGATGATGATGACAATGAGGATGATCATGATCATGATGATGATGATGATGATCATCATCATCATCTCTCCCATGACCAAATTTGGTTATAGGGCTTCTGTGCAGTTGACCAGTTTCCTTCACGCATCTGGGTTAAAAGTCAGAGAGATATTCATATTCAATTGGAATCACTTGTTACTTGATTTCCATTGAAATCCATTAGAATCTAACATGGTAAATATTTTAAAAAAATGTATAACAATAATAATAATAATAATAATAATAATAATAACTAATAATAATACTAAGAAGAAAAAGAAGAAGAAGAATAGTTTGGATTCTGTGACAAATATCAGGAAACCATAGACCATCTAATCTTAGGATGTTCTGTACTTGCGTAAAATGAATATAAAAATCATCACAATTTACTCACACTGGACAATGTGCAAATACTTTTGAAAAGATGTTAAAAAATACTGGTATGAACATCACCCAGAACCGGTTACAGAAATGAAAGACATCGCCATTCTATGGGATGACACCATCTTTAAAGGAAGGAAGATTGAAGCAAATAGGCTGGGGATAACTGTCAAAAACCAAAAAGAAAAAACTTGCTTACTAATTGATATGGCTTGCCCAGCGGACTGTAATATAGCAACCAAGGAATTTGAAAAACTATCAAAGTGTAAAGAAAAATCAAAATAGAAAAAATGTGGAAATTGAAAACAAGAATAGTACCAGTCATAGTAGGTGCACTTGGAATGATAAAAAAAGGACCCAAACAACACATTGAAAAAAATCCATGGAAATTCCAGCTTAAGAGAATTACAAAAAATTGTCTTGATAAATACAGCCTACGCACTAAGAAGAACTTTGTCCACATAACGCTAGTGATGTTATGTAGCCATAACAACTCACCACTACCTGCCTTAGGTTTTCAGCAGACTTGGTAGATAGTGTGACTATAGCAGAAATTGAAATATAATAATAATAATGATGAGGGGAAGAAGAAGAAGACCAGCATTTGGATTTCTTTGTTCTGTTCGACCAAAGAGTAAAAATAAAAGAAAATGAAAAATAGGTAAACTATTTTGACATTAGTAGTAAGCTGAAAAATAGTAGGACATTTGTGCTAATCATGGTCAGAGTACTAGGAGCAGAGTCTCAAAGTGTTTAACAAAGGAGTTGGGAAAACTGGAAATCCATGGAAGAATCAAAACCATTCAGATGACAGCACGATGGAAATTGGAATTCTGAGGAGAATGCTGACATGTTGAAGAAACATGTTGCCAATTGATGTCTGATTAAATTCACTCATGGTGTAAAAAATTCAATGAGATTAAATAATAATAATAATAATACTTCAAGAATGGGACTTTGTGATAACTGAACATATTTGAAGTATAAAGGATAAAAGAAAGTTCAAAAATAATGTTTGTGGTTAATCATTATGCATTTAAGCAAGAAAAAGATTAAACTTTTCTACTGATGATTAAACATTTTTTATTTTTTATCATATTTCTGTTGCTTTTTATTACAAATTTCCAGATTTTTATTTTGCAGATTGAAAAATAAAGTATAAGATTTTGTCAGAATCTGAAAATGTCTTTTTTATCATTGGCAGAACAATTCTTTCTGTGACTATAATGGTCAAGCATTAGAAATCAATAAAATTTACCAAAAAAGCTATATTCTTTACTTGTATGAACACAAATGCTGTCATTTTGAATGTTGACATTTTTTACACAAGTCATATTAGGTGTAATCATAAGTGAATTTAAAGCTGATGCAGTGTCACTTATTTCTAAGTTTTCATTCGTATTTCTTTTATCTTATTTTTGTTTCTTTTTTAAAAACAATAATTAACAATGCTTCATCTAAAAAATCCAAATATTATAAAATGTTCTCTTTTCATTATCCTCAAAATAAGCAGATTATGTAAATTATTCCCAAATTATTGACAAAATTAGAAAAATTTAAATAATTTAATATTAAACTTTCTTTGCCATAATTTTCCTGCTTTTGGTTGAACTTTATTGAAGTCGATATTATGAGAGTATTTTTAATGGAAAAATAAGTGCATTAAAAATGTAAAAGAAATTAGTAAATGAAAGAAATCAACTGAAGTAAACCCTTTAAGTCTTTCTCTTAAGGAATTGTGTAAAAGATTTCAAAGGTCTCAGGTGCGTTTTTATATAATCCTTTTTTAAAACTGAATTTGGCAAAGTTTTTATATTGAACCGTTTTTTAAAGTCTTTGCCAGACAGTTTAAATCTTTAGTGTTTCAAAATTGTGTATTGAAATTATCTTTAACAAAAGGTACATAGACATGGTTTATTATTTATTTTACAGATCAATTCTTTTATTAGACAGGTGCTTGAAATCAATACAGATTACAAAAAAGAATTTAAAAAAAGAAACAAGAACTGTAGAGCATAAAAAATAAGCATCTTTTTAAAATTCTGTCTTATAATGGATTAAGTAAAACTCTTTGAGATGATTCTGGGGTCGATTCTAAAATTTTAATCAGAATAAGATTTAACTGAGCCTGATATTTTGACAATTTCTTAAGAAACAAACCTTAAATTTCACCGTATATTATGCAGGTTTTAAGTATCAACTTATTTCTTGACTGCATACTCTAGAAGATACATCATAAGTTACATGTTGTACAGTGAATAAGTTTCCTAAACTATTGTTTGTGATTTTCTTTTTCTTTGAACACCATACTCCAGTCTCTGTGAAGTCATGCAAAACATAATAACTTAAATTTGCTTTGAACAATTTTTGTCAAATTTTAAACAATTAATTTAGACGTCAAAACAAAACTTGAATTAAATTTTTAGCTGTTTTCAACATATTTTATTAAAGTTACTGAAGTGATTATAAAAACTGATGGAAGGTTATTTAGACCAAAATCTCAAGAAAATTGACAAAAGCGATCTTGTTTCACCAGGACAGCTGGTTTTCTTGAACGTTTCCTAACCCAGGATGAGTGTTGGGTTCATCACTTTGAGCCAGAGACAAAGAGACAATCCATGCAGTGGAAGCACCTCCACTTGCACCAAAGACGGCCATAATTGTTTCATCCTGAGTTTTTACAGAAGGCAAAGGTCATTGTGGAGATGATTATGCCAACTTGCTTAGGCAGTTATGAAAAGCTATCAAGACCAAATGCCCAGGAAAACTGACAAAAAGGGTTGTGTTTCATCAGGACAGTGCTCCAACACATGTCATTGGTTTCAATGGCTGCTGTTTGTGACTGGCTTTGAACTAGTTGATCACCTTTCTTAGTCTCCTGATTTGGCCCCATCTGACTATCATCTGTTCCGTAACATGAAAAAAACACTTGCCTGAGAACCAATATCACAAGTGATGATGATATCATATCAGCTGTTGATGACTTGTTGACTAATAGGATGAAAGCTTCTTCACAAATGGGATACAAGCACTGCAACATCCAGGAAAGAAGTGTGTGAATCACAAGGATAGAAAAATAAACCTGATTTGGTCACATTCCATAAGAATATCTTGGTCTGCCTATGATCTTTCCAGTTGACCCTTGTAGTATACTTTATTTCATTTGCTAGATGGAGTATAAGTTAATGATTTATTTGAAAAAGTAATGTTTGGTGTTTTTGTTTTTATTTAGGCTTATGGCCAAACTTTCATCAAGGACGATTATTTCTTGACTTTGGTTGCTTCTGTTTCGGCACTGTTCAATGCATCTGGGCGGTTATTATGGGGTTACATTGGGGACAAATACTCATTCAAGGTAAGCCAAAAATTACTTCCTTTTTTTGATTTATCTTTTGATGATGTAAGTCTTTGCATTGCATAAGATTAAATGAATAGAGTTCATTTGTTTTGTTTATTAAGGAGTAAAACCTTGATTCATAAAAGTAATGTACAGGGTTGAAATGTCACAAGTAAGATCAAAATCTGAATAATTTTGGAATATGTAAAAATATACTGACTCCAGTTTTAGATCATTCGATGCAAGAACTCCTTTACTTAGAAACAGGACAGCTTCCTGGGGTTTGTTTTGTAAGTCTAAATGTTAAAGAGTAGATAATAATAAAGATGTTGAAGATATTACTGTTACTTTATTCTGCCTTGCTTGTTGCTTCTGACGTAGATCAAGAAAAATTCAAGCAAAAATAGATTTAATTCACACAAAATTTATTTCAACTCTTTCAGTAGATATAAATTTTTTGTCCTAAATATGTATCCATATTTTTATTAGTGTTTCCTCTCACAAATAAATATATGCCCATTTTTTCATTGGTGTATCCTCTCACAAATAAATATGTGCCCATTTCTTTGTTGGTGTATCCTCTCACAAATAAATATGTGTCCATTTCTTGATTGGTGTTTCCTCTCACAAATAAAGTGTGTTGATTATTTGCTTCTAACATATCTTATACATAATCACTAATTTGTCACTCAATTTGAATTTGAACTATTTACGTTCCTACTACTTACCAAATATGTGAAGTAAATTGTTGTAACCTAAGGAAGGTTACTGAATAGAATAATCACACAAACGTTGGTAATGAATAATAATACTTAGATAAGAACAATACATATAAGATTCACTGAAGGTGAATAGAAGAAGTAATCAACTGTTAGAAGTGAGTCAAGTGAATTCCACAATGAATCTCCAACTCTAGACCAACATACAGTATTTACTACTGTATTTATGTGAATGGGGACATACCCATTATCGTCCGTAGGGATGCTACAACATAAGTTAAACATTAATTTCTAATTATATAAATCACAGAATAATATTATGTCTTAACATTGTAAAGATTTAGCAGAAAAGTAGTGGATATTTAACCCTGTGTTAGTCACATGAGGTGTTTAGTTACCGGCCAATTTTTAAAGTACTTCTAATTTCTAGTTGGCAACTTGTTTCTTTTATTCCTTTCTGCTATTCTCCTGACTCAGTGAGAGGGTGTAGCATGCAGTGTGGCATAAATGTAGCTGGGAGTCAGACACCAGGGGATTATCCATTTTTGGAAAACTGAGGTGACTTATGCAGGGTTAAGCAAAGAGGAATTTCTTTAACAAACTATGGTGACCCTTTTTAAAGAAGATAAACTTTGAGTTTAAATGTTCGCAGCATGTTTTGAGGAGAACCACAGATAACCCCAAATGACGATGTAGCATCTAAGGGAGATAATAAAAACTTTGTCATGTTCACAGGCTGATGTAAAGCAGATACAATAATGTCATCTATTGTGCTGTGTTTGAACTTTTGAAATGGATCTGAATTTTAGACATGTTCACTAATGTCACTGAATGTCCATAACTTAAATGTTTGTAAACAGAGAAATGCATATATAAGTTAGTACGTACAAAATTAATGTGCATACTCCAGTCTTTCTTGGTTTCTGTTGTGTTCTGAAATATAAAATTTTGCTCTTGTCAAAGTGTACATTACTGAAACATTGAAATAAAACAGAACAAAAATGTGGAAATTAGTTTGAGCTAATAGGGATTAAAGCACTTCATCTATATAAAATTTGAGAATAAAATAAAACAATAGTATAGAACTGTTACAATATAATATGCCAAATTTATTTGTATATTTTTGTCTATAATTTTACTGTACTAGAGTTATCTCCCTTTCAATAATAACACCAGCTGCCAATGTGCTTTGCTATCACAAGTGAATGTGTAGAGAGTGTGAAGGTTATTAACTTGGAATGAGCCAAGTTTGAATTCCATTTCATTACTTTCACTTTGGTGCAAATACTCCTGGGAAAGGTATAAATACATTTCCCCTAGCTATGGGTTAAATAGTAGGGAAAACTAGGCTCTTCAGATTTGATTGGCAGCCAGTCAAGGAGAAGGACAATTCTGACTTCAAAACTGGTTGGATATGAGGCTAGCAACATCCCATCCTTGATATGGAAAACAAAACAGCAACACTTGTGTGTTGAGAAATGTTTTCTCATACTCTACAGGTAGAATTTATGGGATTTGAGTGAGTGAGAATTGCTATGACAATGGGGCACTGTTTAAAGAGGTTGATGATGCTGGGAAGAGAAAGGACATAATCTATGAAGGATGAGTACATCATCATCATCATCATCATCATGGCTTGGCTTCGCAAAATGAAGATCAAGAGCGAGTCTATACACATCGCTTGCAGGCACGTTTGTGACTGATAAGTCCAATGCAGGACAGGCATACTTGGTTGCAGTAGTTGCAGCTAAAAGTCTGGCCTGGGCTCAATGTCATAGCATTGCATACTTCCTCATCTGCCTCTTGACCCTGAGAGTGGCCATGTAGGTATTTTCAAAGAAAGAGACAGCATGGTTAGTGGTGAATTACCAGGTGTCACGGTTCTAAGCTAGGGTTGACCATTGGTAATGGTTGATGTGACAGACAACAAAGGATTTTTTCAGGCAATCTTTGAATCATTTCTTTGGGACCTCTCTGCTGCAATAGCCAGTGAAGAGCTTTCCATACAATGAAATTTTAGGCAGGTGATAATAATATTTAGAAATAACAACAATAGTTGTAATGACAAAAATACACAGGTGTAGGCTTTAAGAAAGTTTTATTCAACTGAGAATACAAGGTTCGCATATAGTGTCCTTTTATAGTCCCAGTAAACAGAAATAGCTGTTTTAAAGAGAAGAGTAATGAAACAAGGGGAGACTACTCTTGATTATTCATAACAATAATATTTAGAAAAATAATAACATTTAGAAATAACAATAATATTTAGAAAACTAATAATATATAGAAATAACAATAATATTTAGAAAAATATATTTAAAAAACTCACATGAGAAAGCCTAATAATAAAAACTTAGATATAACATCAGTTTCAACAGCATAATAAACTCATATAATGTTTTATATTAATGCATATTCTTATATTCAAAATTTATATTTATCATTTATATAAATTATTCATATTTATAATATATTTCCTGCTATATAAATGCATACACATCAACATATAAAATGCACCTAAAATTTTGTAAGAAAGATTTATGACATTATTCACATTATTCGGACCATTGTTCTCATCTTTGTCGCCACATTTATTACAACGTTTCAGCCGTTGTATGCTCCGGCTTTCTTCAGGTGGTTGGAATGTCAAACTTAACTCTTTATTTTGCTCACTGGGGATAAAGGCGTTGGTTAGATCCTGTAACAGGACACAAAGAGTATGAGTTCAATACCCAGTTAAGGCACTGGAGAACTTTCAGAGGGAAATTAACAGGAGATAACTGATAACTGACATCCATTATACATGGCATGTGGAACTAGAACAGTGTGTGAAGTAAAGGGTTAAGTTCAACATTCCAGCCACCTGAAGAATGCCGGAGTGTACAACGGCTGAAACATTGTAATAAATGTGGTGACAAAGATGAGGACAATATTCCGAATAATGTGAATAATGTACATAATACCTCATCTGAGAAATATAGACAATTATATATAAGAATTAAACTAAAACTGTAACTAAAATATTTGTTTTTATTTTCCTTTTATATTTGAATATTAATTTGAATCCTAATCTAATCATTTTGAATCATATATTTCATTCTGATATCATCAGGGGATGAGTGTGTCAGTTAGAGATGTTCATGCATTAGTTTGGTACCAGTATCTCAACCAATGCATATAAGACATGGGGAAGGGATGGGGGCGGTTCATAAATTCAGTCTGGAAAGGATTAACATTTTATCAAGGAGGAAAGTGCTTCCTTATCCGCAGTTTCATTTTTCATGGTTTCACTTATCAGCATTCAGCCCCCAAAATAATCGAGAAACCTTTTTCTGCCTTTCATCAGCATAGCTGACGCTAACCTAACTTGTGCCTTATCAGTCTGCTGACATGAAATGGGAAGTTTGTATTGAATCAATTGCTAGGTCTGCTGCTAGGAAGGATGGTTCCCTGTCTTGTGCTAGACAATTTTTCACACCAGAATCTATCTTATGTCTAACAATTCATCCATGTATTGCAGGGGTGGCCAAACTTTTGATTCCATGCGCCAATATTTTGTATGATTAATTTAAATGCACCACACAAACATTCACTTCCTTTCAGTCCGTGTTGTAATATGGACATATTTTAAAGTTATAATAAAATCTATTTATTTGAAAAATATACAAAAATTAATCAAACTTTTAGCACTTTCGCAAAGGACGTGCAATAAATATAAAATCACTGAAATGAATGAGTAGAAGTGGCTTAGTTTCTTTTCATCAAAAGGATGCAATGCACCACTTGTAAGCATCCAATGCACCACTCATGGCGCATGTGCCACAGGTTGGCCATCCTTGATGTATTGAATATTGCTGCCACATATGGTCTGGTGCTTCTGCTATCTATTTAGAGATTCTTGATAAAATTCAAAGAAGAATTTGCAATGTTGTTGGTAATGACCTGGCATTTCAGTTTCAGTCATTTTCTCACTGCTGTAATGTAGCATTGCTGTGCCTTTTCTATAAATACTTTCATGGTAATTGTTCTGATGTACTTTGCTCGAAGTTACATACATTTTAAAGTTAAGTGCAGTAATAGATGGACGACAAGGTCTCATCATTTTACAGTTGAATTGGCCGCTAGATGTAACTGTAGGTTCTTTGCTAACAGTTTCTTTTCTCGCACTTCGCGCCTGTGGAACTCTCTTCTGGCTTTCCAGTGAACTTTTATCTTTTAAAATTTAAATGCAATATCAATTGTTATCTGCTGTTTTCTTGATTTGTTTTCTATTATTGTTCACAATTCTTAATAATGTTTTTCTTTTTTTCATTGTTTCACACTCAGTAAGTCCTTGTGTCTTAATGGTTTTTTACCTTGCTTGGAATGAAATGATTACAAAAAAAGAATTTATAAGGTTTATTTAAAATATGAAAAAATGCAGACTCAGTCAATAAGGGGAGATAAATTTGACTAATGAACTAATTTTTATTAGATTTAGCAATATAGAATTTCATAAGTTTCCTTATTCAAAGCAGTAAATTACTACATAAAATATCATTGTCGTTAGTAAATCTGACATAAAAGTTTAGATAGTCTTTTATAAGTTTTAATTTTAAAAGTATGATAACCATAACTTGATTTTAGAAAATTGAAATAAACTTTATATATTAATACTTGTATAGAGCTGTATATCTACAGTTTTCATGAATCTCTCGAATATCTTTTCTTTAAGTGCCACATTTCTTCAGGATGTAAGTAACAGATAATCCATCTCTACAGCTTCCTTTTCTTTAATATCTGTAAAGTATACATTAACATGACTATTCTTGGAAAATTAATGAATTGCTTTCCCATTGAATTCTTCATGCTTCTGAATTAACTCACAGGAAGAAATGGATTCATGCCTTTACTAAGGTCATTAAGTAAATGCAAGATTCACATCTGAAATTTAATTGTTACATTACTTGCAAATCCTCCTTAAACATTATGTTTTTATACTTCAATAAATTAGCAGCTTTTACATTTATTGGAATTACTACTCAGAGGATGCTTACTCAACCACTACATTCTTAACCTTAAGTCTAGAGTCAACTGGCTTTTATCCTACATATGCACTTTCATATTTACTCTTTACCCATTTCTTATACTCTTAAAATAATCTTACTCAGTAACCTTCTACATTGGGTGGCTCTTGGACCTTTTATTATGCGAACTAAAGTAAAAAATTTAAAATTAAAATTAATATTATGAAGATTCAATGTGTATTTGAGACATGATCAAGGGAGATACTTCCGGAACATGATCAAGGGAAATAATTCAGGCAATTACTCAAGGGAAATAAGTCTGAGTATTCTATCAGCACCAAGCAGTGTTCATTCTATCCAATAAGCTCAGCATCAAATAAAACCCAGTAAAAAATGGCCTGAGAAAAGTTTGGTTTAGTTTGTTTTGTTTTACGGCATATCAGCCTTAATGGGTTATTTAATGCCGACAAGATTTTTATTGCTGGTAATAATTTTTCAAAAATGTATTGCTGGTAATATATATTTTTTTTCCAAAAATGTATTGCTGCTAATATTTTTCCTTCAAAAATGTATTGCCAATAATATTTTTTCCTTCAAAACTGTATTGCTGGTAATAATTTTTTGCCTTCAAAAATTCATTGCTAGTAATAATTTTTTTACAAAAAAGCATTGATGGTATTAAAACTTATTTTTACACTTTCATAGTGTTTTGACCCAAGTTTGGGCGGGATGGGTCAATTATTTGGCCATAGCTGGGACCCAAACACGTGCTACTACCCTGGGTTAGAGTGGACCTGTGAACACCAGCAATTAAGAGGTGGTTCCACGCTCCTCAAAACCTTCTGATCAGAGGCCTTGCCGTTGCATGTAGTTTATCGTCTTACCCAGGACGTGGATGTAGTTTATTATCATACCCAGGATGTGAGAAAAGTTTGAAGATTTTTAAAGAGAATTTATGTGACATTTATTAGTCATATCAATTCTCTTGACAACTCATCAAAAAATATGCATTTTTAACTTGGATCTTAGGAACTTCATTTTTTTTATTTTTTTATTTCTTATTAAGTCTCAGGACCTTTCAAATTTTCTTTTGAAGGAAAAAAATTATGGTTTCTCTTTATAGATAAGTAGGGAGGGAGAAATCACAACATTATATCATTTACAAGTTCGGTTTGAAAACTCAATTTATTGAAATGGATAAAAGAAAACAGTTTCAGAGCTCAAATTTCAACAAAGTTAGAATATTGTATTTAAAAAAAAAAATGAAACATTCTCATTATTGATATTATTTTCAAACTATTTTGATTCCTTCAAATTATTGTAAATGGTGTCACTGTTGCAGAAATGCTACTATGTTTGGGTAAATATTTAGTTACCATGATGTTGCAGGAATCAACACTCTGGAGAGTAAATATTTACAGCTCCTGAAAAATTTATCCCGCAAACAATATCTCAGGACTCAATGTAAGTCCAGGTAAAAACGAGTATCACAAAACAATATAAAATAAATGACAACCCATGTATTAACAAAAGAATTACATGTGACGAAAAGGAAAAAAACATGAAACTAGTTAAGAAGGTGTTTGTTTGTGTATGACAGAGTACAAAAAGTCAGGACAGAAAACCATGAAAAGGAACATGCCCCAGTGGGGGGGGGGGGCACTTTTTTTCCACATGCGACTACATCTTATAGCCAGAGTTGTAAAAGAGGAAAGAGAGACTATGGAGGAAAAATGCATTTTTTTTATAACATCCTCTAGGGACGTTTTTTTTTTTTTTTTTGCAAAGTGGGATAACCCACATTTCAACAAACTAACAGTAACTCAAGCCCAAATTTAGGTTTTAATATTTTTAATTTGAAAAGCTCTTGCGTATTAAAAATTAATGCTGCTTTTGTTTAAAATTAAGTGCATATGCATATATATTATGTATGATAAATTAATCAGGAGTAATCTCCCTTATTTTATGATTACCTCCCTTTCGTTTGTAGAGGACTATAAATAGTCACGACACTGGTATCAATTATTCTAAGGAGAATAAAGCTTTGTTAAGCCTACTCTTACTCTCTTTGTTATTATATGATGCTATTATTTAAAAACAGTAAATATATTGAATTTGATAACATGAGACTTCTAGGCTAAGTACAGGCAATTAATAGTCAATTTGAATTAAAATTAATCTACCACATACTTCAACTGCTACATATCTTAGCTATTTTTTATTTTTGAAAAATATTGGGTGTGTTAAGTTTTCAAATATGGTCATTTTTTTCTGCTGTTAAAATATATGAATTATTTTTTGTTCTATTTTCAAATTGCAAATATCTTCAATGGAATTTTCCCAGATCTTTTATAAACAGTGATCAGGCTGATCCCACAAATTATTTCTGTTGAACTTGAATGTTAAAATTTTTTGTAGTGACAAATCTTTATAGCAAGACATCTAATTAATAAAACATTGTCATCTCATTCTACTACTCCAGGAAATACCTGATTCTGACTCCCACTGGCATGCTTTATCTTTACAAGAATTAGATTAGACCAAAAATGGAATATTGCTGCCATGTCTGTTCCAGAGCTGCTCAATCCTCACTTTTCAGCTATAGTAGAGTTCAAGTTTATTTACTCGATCTTGCAGAGCTTGACTTATTTTCTTTTCTGCAACCTCTATCCCACATTTTCAATTCTACTGTCATATCATCGCTATTTCCATGGCAAATGCTTCGATAAATTTTACTCTTTATTTCTACCAGTTCAGACCTTTATAGCTAGGACTTGCCATGTTATATCCAGAATTGAATCAGCCAAATTTCCTCTATATTCCAAGTACAAGGAGGAAGTTCCACTCAGATGTTTTCCTCCCAAGAACTGTTCTACTTTATGAAACAAACTTCTGTGTGGTTGCTTTCTTGAACACTATGATCTTAACCTCTTCATGCCATGGGTCAAGCATTGTTTATCCTCCCTATCCCCATAATTTTTGCTTCCTTCTATTGCCTCTTACATTCATATAACACACCTCATTCGGTAGCCCCCTACCATGGATTGCACTTTAACCTTGTATTGTGTAAACTAGGAAAATACAAAAATGGTAATGTTAACTGCATGCTGTCATGTCTGAAAGAAAGCTGTACTTTTTGTAGTACTGTACCAAGCTGACATAGCTGCTATGAGATTGGATTTTTCTACTTGGATATAGTCAACTCATTTTGAATATTGCCACTAAAAACTGTAATAAACTTAGCAAAAATATGTCCACCAGAGTACACTTGTTATTGTCAATAAATGATATCAAAATTTTCTCTTGTCTTGAGTATGACAATAAACGACATCTGCGCCCTGGGTAAGATGATAAACTACGTCCGACAGCAGAGTCTTTGGTCGGGAGGTTTTGAGGAGTGTGAAACCACCTCTTAGTCGCTGGTGTTCACAGGTCCACCCTGACCCTGGGGTAGTGGCACCTGTCGGAGTCCCAGCTATGGGCAGGTGGTTGGCCCACCAAAAGGGGTCAAAATACTGTGAAAGTATAAAAATAGTTTTTAATACCAGCAATGCTTTTTTTGAAAAAATTTTACTAGCAATGCATTTTTGGAAAAATAATATTACCAGGAATATATTTTTGAAAATACAATATTACCACCAAAAAAATCTTGTAAGCATTTCATAACCCATTGAGATTGATATGCTGTAAAACAAAACAAAACAAAACAATAGATAGATAGACAGACAGACAGATAGCTAGCTAGTTAGATAGATAAAAAGTATAACCAGCAATAAAAATCTTGTCAGCATTAAATAACCCATTGTGCTTGATATGCTGTAAAACAAAACAAACCAAACCAAAATTTTCTTCTTTTAAATAAAAATAAATTCAAAGATTATTTTGAGAAATTGTAATTTTTATTAATTTTTTTTCAGCTTGGGATGTCATTATTATCTGGTTTGTTCTGCATCCTTGTATTATTGTTGACGGTTACAAGTATAGCTGGGAAATACTTTTTCCTTATTTGGATCTGTCTCATCTTCCTCACCTTCTCTGGCAACTACTCCCTCTTCCCCTATGCCATTGCTCAAACATTTGGTCTTCGGTATTACAGCATCAACTATGGACTCTTGTTCACTACACAGGTAAGTAAACCTTCTCCTTAATGCACTCTTATAATGAGGCTAGTTTTTCAACAATGCAAATGAACCTGATGTTCATTTGGTGCCAGTCTGGTGGGACCTTGTGTTATATCAAAATAAGTTTAATAAAAGTTTCAGCATGACCCTGTGCCAGACAAAGTTGACCTTAGTAACTATCTTGTAGTGCCTTTCATAAAAGTAATGGTTAACAAGCAAATTTAGAGACAATTTCAAGTGTATTAAGTCTGGCTGAGAGAAGGGCTTACATTGTTGTGGCCTTAGGTGAAATTGAACGAAAATAACTCTGAAATAACTTAGACAAAATATTTTCAATTTTACACCTATCTTACTCTTGATTGAGTGTCTTTCATTTTTGGTGATTCTGATTTATTCTTCTTTAGCTGTTAAATTTGTCTAGCAATACTCAGAGATAATTTTGTGATTCTCACATGACCTATTTTCATTATTACTTGTATTTTTCTAATGAATTTTTTATTAGATTCTTCATCTTTTTTGGTTTTACTCAATCAAAATATTTTTAAATGCATGATTTTAAAAGAAAGAAATTTCTTTTAACATTCCTGATGAATTGAATAAGCATACACCTGGGTTCCCCCTCACAGTAACATGATTGGCTGGTGTCAGCCATAAATACAGACTGACGTCTATTGACTATGCCTATTGTCTTCGCCTATTGCCTACACCTATTGCCTACCACTACGACGAGGACCGGTCCATTACGGTTACCTGCTAGATTGTCCTACTCAGTTACAGTAGTCAACAACCACTTTGCTACTTCGAACAAATATATCCCTTTCTGGGACATATCGATTCCATATATCAGAAGTTCAGTCTATATTTATGAAGTGAGGTATTGTAATTATTTACATTATTTAAACTGTTCAGACTGTTGTCCTCAAGGACACATGGCCTTGTGGACAAAACCGTTGGTTGGATCCAGAGACTTGACCCAAAGAGTTGTGAGTTCAATTCCTGGTTACAGCTGAGCTGAACAAAAACATGGAGAGTTGAATTAAAGGGAGAAGACTGAGACATCATGACATGGCATGTGGAACTAAAACAATCTACCCTGGTGGATGAAATAAAGGGTTCAGTTCAAAATTCCAATCACCTGAAGAAGGCCGGAGTGTACAATGACTGAAACGTCTTGAATATGGCAATAAAAATAAAGACAGCGGTGTGAACAATGTAAATAATCAGAAGTTCATTTATGTGACAATAATTTAACCATTTAGATTACTGAAGCCCTCATTATATGAAAGTATTTTTTTTTTTTTTTACAGTTTGTAGAAAAGTGTTATTTAAACATTAAAGAAAAAAATATTTTGGTTTGATATAAATAAATACAACATATAACTCCCCTATATGTTTCTGAAAATCATACAACAGGAAAATGCAAGGATGACAAAGATAGCAAGCAACTGAGTAGAAGTTCTGAATAGGTGGATTGAATACCGAGATAGATTGTACAATTACAAGCTCCATCAACATCCCTCTTGACTGCAAGCTAACCAGTACCCCACAGAAGGTGAATGTCTTCCAATACTGAAGGAGGAGGCAAAAACAGCATTAAGGAACTTGAAATCTGGCAAGCTATATGGAGTGGAACCCCGTGAACTAGTGAACAATGAAGGTGAAGAAAACTGTCAAAGCCCTAAAAGTTCTATGCCTGCTGATTTTGGAATAGAAGAAGTGGCCAAAAGAGAGAACCCAGTCACTAATGATGCTTCTACAAAAGAAGGCTAATCTCAAGCAATGCCAGAATTATAGAACAATAAAACCTGATCAGCCACCTTAGCAAAGTCATACTCTATATTATCATCAAATCTCTGAAATTCAAGACTGAAGAACGACTTTCAGAAGAGCAGGCAGGTTTTAATGCAGCACAGTGGAACAAATCTTCAATTGTAGGCTCCTCATTGGGAAGTATCTGTAAAACCAGAGTGACCTGATCCATAATTTCATTGATTTCAAGAAAACATTTGATTAGGTATGGCATGATGGCCACTGGAACCTCCTCAGAGGATTCAATATAGAAGAAAGGCACATACAAGTAACCCAGGCTCTCTATGACCATGCCATCAGCATAGTTCTTTGAGTAATTAAGTGGAAAATTTCTTCTAGATGACTATCAGTGTTGGACAGGGATGCCTACTCTCTCCAAGACTCTTCAACTTGTTTCTGGGGAGAATTAGGCAGGAAAACTTCCACAACCACAACACTATCAATGGTAGACCTGTTTGTATCCTGCATTTCACAGATAATGTTGACCTTATGGTGGGCAGTAGCAGTGAGCTGCAAGGCCTGACCAACAAACTTGTTGAAAGAGTTGGCATATATGGAATGGAACCCAACACAGAGAAGTCCAAAGTAATGGTGAATAGACTGAGCAACGCCATTGCCAAAATAACAATGGACGGTGAGTTACTGGAGGAAGTGTTTGGTTTCAAATACTTGGTAGCAACCCCATCAAAAAATGGTACCTGCAATTCAGAAATCTGCATACGGGTCACCATAGCCTAGCAGAGATGGTTAGACTAGAAAGGATATGGAAGAATAACATCAACTTCCATATAAGTTCAAGCTCTACAAATTGTTTCTATCCATCCTTCTCTATTGTCGTGAGACTTAGGCACTCCTGGTTGAGGCAGAAAAATGGATCCAAGCGTTCGAGAACAAATGCTTGAGAAAGCTCCTCCTCATCAACTGGGACTACAAAACTAGATTATATATGGATCGAGATCAAAAATCTTGTAGGCTGACAAGAATCTCTCCTAACCACTGTTAAGTATTGTAGGATGGTATGATTTGGCCATGTCACATGGCATAATTGCCTCTGCAAGACTAGTATTCAAGGCGCACTGTTGAAGGTGGATTCAAGTCGGGACAGCAATGCAAGAGCTGGTCAAAGAGTGGCTGGACATGCCAATGCAGGAGTCATTGCCAATAGATTATCCTGGAAGTGGTTGTCTGTTTCTTCTGTTTTAAGGCCCCCATTTCTCCTGACGATTGAAGTAGTCAAGGGACCGAAGATGAAGATGGTGATGTAAGAATGAAAACGGAAATGTGAAGAATTGTAATGATTATCAGCATGAAAATCTGAGTCAGTAAACCAATTTTAGTTGACACTGTTTATATTCACTTTGTGCTAATGCCTTTTTGGAAAGGCATGAACCCACTTCCTCACAGCAGCTATAGGTAAATAGCAGGATAACTGAAGCCCTTTATTCCAAGTAAAGGAAATTTAGTCTGACAAAAAAAAAAAAAAACTAGAATCTCAGGTCTGGATAAAAAATGAATGAAATAAGTCTGGTAATTTCACACTATAAAATAAAAGAATTTGCTACCGAAACTGCAGATATGACCAAAGGAGTCAACAGCAACTAATAAATAATGATGAATGAATACAAATGTAATGGGGCTAAGACCTATGGAAGAAAGATTTATTCTCCCATTTACATTTCCCCTGTTTTGTGCATTATCATATCTGTGATATAGTAAGACTGTATTTCATGGACGGAACAAAATGGCTGAAAGGAAAAAGAATAACAAACATACACAAAAACTATATATATACGTATATACATGTGGGGGCCCATGCAAGGAATAATATATCAACAAAGCAGAGTGTAATGAGAGACAAAAAGGATTAATGTTTTCTTTTGTGTTTTTTAATCACTTTTTGACATCAACATAAATGTTTGTTGTGGGAATCACTGCACTTTCTTTCAAATCTATTATTTCATCATTTGTGAATAAAATGCACATGAAGTTTCCATGAAAATTTGAGACGTTACAACTACATTTGTAATTATGGAAATGGCGGTGGGGTGGAGGAGGTGAATAATTCTGTCCACAACTGTATGTCAAACTAAAGCGGGCTTATGACCACTTCACATTGAAACACAGGTTCTCGCACGATCAAGGAAGTTAAGCAATGTCAAGCCTGATCATTACTTTGATGGGTGACCGCTTAGGAATACCAAGTGCTGTAAGCTTGGATGTGCATATGGTGTAATGGATAATGGCTAAGAATTGTTAATCGGAGAGCAGAGTTCCAATTCCAATGGGGTTCGTTATTTTCACTTACGTGCAGATACCTTTGGGAAAGGAATGAATTAACCTCTTCTCATCCAGCTATGGGTTAATTAGATTTGTATCACCAAACCATTATTGTTTCTCTCTCTCTCTCTCTCAAAAAAAAAATCTTATGATCCAATAAAATTTTTTTGGCTCTAGATAACCTATAAAGGATTGATAAACCATAGAGAACAAATCAACCAAGCCATTATAACAGGATAGAGCTATGGAAGAAAGATTTATTCTCCCATTCAAATCCCTCCCCCCATTATATTAATGACATAACACTGTAATTGACGGACAGAATGGAATGGCTGAAATGAAAAGGAATAACAAATATGTTTTGTTCTCAGAGAGACTTTTATACCACAAAGACATATACAAAACTATATATACATATAAGCATGTATCCCATGTGGAAACAATATGTCACATATATCGACAACAAGCAGAGTGTAAGGAGAAACCAAAAGGATGGTTCTTACATATAATATGGAGATTCTTCGGTTTCTGGAGAAGCTATGTTTAAGACTCCAGATGCAAATGGACCGGATTCATCTACTATGTCTCAGGTGAGGACATATCCCACAAAGAGGAAACAGTGAGTTTTGGGTTTTCCCAAATTGTGGACTGCTAGCCTGAGTTTCTTTCTATATTTGGGAAAAGATATATTTCCAAAGTGAAATGATACCATGGACTTGTAAATTGTAGCATTTGCTGAGGGAGGCTGATTTAGCAATCACTTGGTTTGGCTGCTGGCCACTCTCCTCACTATATAAAGTGATGTCATGTGACCCATGTGAGTTATCTCCGCCAAAGGGAGATAATCGCTTTCTGTATTTCTTACATGGAAAATACTTCAGTGAAGAATCTGAAAATATCCTCAGTGTATCTGAAGTTATTTATTAGCTAAAAACATTTTTGATAAAAGGCAACAAAAATAATTTAGAAATTCATGAAGGCTAATGTGTGAGACAAAAAGATAATTTTCAGCTCTTTTTGAAATTTTTAAATGTCTTTTTTGAGATTTCTTTTTATCATCTTTTTCAGGCTGTGTCTGGCTTAGTTGGCGCAATTATAACAACTTTGTTGTATGATACAATGGGATGGTCTGGACTGTTTTTCTTAGTTTCTGGAATGACATTCATTAGTAAGTGTAGCTTGATTGTCTTTTTGGTGTTGCAAAGGAATTATCCAAAGCTGTTTTGTTGCTTTTTGTAGACATTCAACATGTATTGATTCTTGGAATGTGAGAAGAATAAAAAAATTTTGAAAAGATTTTACAAGAATCAGGAAATTGGCAAAACAAATATAATACTATTTTAAATTTCTAATTTAATAAGAAAACTACTTTTATACAAATAAGAATAATAATAAGAATTTAACAACATGCTTGACAGAGTAGGAAGAGTAACACACTGAGAATTGTGCAAATTATGATTTGAGTTTGATATGCAAATGGATGAAGTATGTTCAAATCAGAGACTCTCTTAGAAAATAAAAACAAAGAAATAAAAATAATTTCTTGGACTTTGAGATGCAAATAAATCACTTAATTTGTGTTAAAATAATATTATTATTATAGTTATCTGTCCTTATTAAGGGATTACGCTCCCTTCATAGAAAAGTTCTCCATATTTATTTTATCTTTCCCTCTCCTTTAGCAAGAGAATCTCTTGATTTTGTCTGTAGACAGAATATAGCAGTCTTTTTCATTTCTTTTGAGAATAGGACATGTTCTACTAACATCAATTATTTTTAGTTTGTGTATTTTGTTATATTTTAGTTTGATTTCAGGTTCATCCCCCTCTTCACTCGTTGCTTATCATCAATGAACTTTTATATATAATTTTATATACATGAATTTTATGTTATAGAATCGTCCATATTTCATACTCACCTCCGAGATAAAATACACTCTTCCATCAGAATCAGTTTTAACCAACCAACACCTCGCATTGCAAATCTCGACTTTCTATTGGTCGAGACATGTAACAATTATGGAAAAACTGTTTTTGCGCCCAGTTCGCTGGAGCCTATTTTGGTTTCCAGAAACAAATAAAAAGGACCATCTCAACCCAATTCACCAGTCAGTCAATAAACTTCAGAGAGATGTCACACGAATCCACGCGTGTCACTATTTTGACTTAAGATACTTTTTGCGCGTCAACTGCTAACTTAAACATCAACATAATCTCCTCTCACATCTCACTTACAACTTTCTAAGAAAAGTGTTCTTACACACTACTAAAATAGAAATTGTATTTTAAATAAAGACAAACACAGAACAATCCAAGGTAAAAAAAAACTCTGGAAAATTTAGACAATTAAACTCCTACTTTATTCACGCATACAAACTACACAAATTTCTGTATAAATAATATTTTCCGTTTTACTCTGTTTGACCAGTTCTTAAACACTTGAACAAATATTGAACTGTAAATCAATAAGAAACCCAATTTACCAATGGTCAATTTCTTGCATTATCAAACTACAAGTTTTCAAATTGTATATTAATTGTACATAAATGCATGTTGTTTTATTGAAATCTCATAATCGGTGTTTCTTACTCAATTGCCTCGTGATTGATTCGTTTTTGAATGTCTATATTCTATATTGTTGTGGATTAATATGGTGAACATGCCCGTAAACTAACCATCTTAATATAAAAACCTTCTGATAACAAATTCAAACTCATAGCAATCCCAACAATGTCATGGGCTGTTTTTATAGGTCCCTCTGTGTGTATGTCATATTGTGGTGTGTGGTGGATTGAATGATGACGAATGAGTTTTTATGGTGGATATGTAAATTGTAACGAAGGAATGGGTCATGAATCGGATTAGCTAGGTATAAGATAGTTAGTGACAACCAATCTCAACCCATTCCCCCTTTTTTGGTGTTGTACTACAATTGCTGTATTTTCGAGCAATAAATCTGTTATATTCCATGCTAAGGGAATAAATGCATAATACCAGATGGATACTAAAAGAAAGGTTTAATGTACACAACAAGTACAATATGAAATATGGTACAGTTATATGCACAGGTCAATCTAGTAGTGAGTGCCACTAATTGGAAGGTCGGACGTGCTTGCGTCATCTTGCTCTTACACTTCCTCTCATAAATGGTTGACTTTATAGGTACTTACTACCTATAGTGTAATTATTCATGGGGGTGACTGGTTATTCCATTACATCAAAATCTCAAGTTCTAAAATCGCCATCTTTGGTTAAAACTTGCGTGTCTTTTTGAGTTGAATAAAACCTGAATCGGCCAAAGTTATTTTCTTCAGTCTCGTCATTCGCCACCTAATTCAAACAAGAAGACTGGATTTGGTTGTTGTGAGTAAAGAAAGTTTGCTAGATTGGAAATATGAATGACCAGGGAAAAGTTGGAAGAAAATAAAAAAAATAATAAAAGGACCTTGTTCAAGAATTGAATTAAATAAACGGTAGAATATGTTAGAATGATGTTGGGAATAAATGCAATTTTAGAACCAGAAATATAGACAGATACTGAAGGGCCGGAACATTGTAATAAATATGGCGACAGAGATGAGGACAATAGTCCGAATAATGTAAATAGTGTACATAATACCTCATCTCAGAAATATAGACAGATACTGATCGGCTGAAACGTTGTAATAAATATGGCGACAAAGATGAGGATAATAGTCCAAATAATGTAAGTAGTGTACATAATACCTCATCTCAGAAATATAGGCAGATACTGAAGGGCTGGAACGTTGTAATAAATATGGTGACAGAGATGAGGACAATAGTCCGAATGATGTAAATAGTGTACATAATACCTCATCTCAGAAATATAGACAGATACTAAAATGATGTTCTTATTGATGGAATTATTATATATATATAAGGTGAAGTCGGAAAATATAAATGAAAACGTTGGTTAATTTATAATTATGCACTGAGAGGAAATGCTGAAGATGTAGGAATACTAAATTTATAAATATTTCTATTTGACTTGAGAAACTTATTTTTCTGACAAAATGTTTTAAGAAAGATTTTATAAATTTCAGCCAATAGCAGCAGTAGGACTGCCCGGTTAATGAATTCTGAATGTTTTCTTATAAGGAAACAGCTAAAATTACCATTACCATTACCATTACCATGCATATACACGTCTAGCACTTTTCTGAGAGTACAAAATTATTACACTCCGATCCAAGTACAAATTCAGTCAGTTATGTGCCATGCATGATACTTAGGCAATCATGTATCGAAAGATACATGACTGACGAGGCAGATTTTTCCCGCAGTAGTCTGCCATTTCTTTCTGTGGGAGACCAGTTGCCATCCAAGGCTATAGAACTCGGTCTGTCCTGATATTTACCCATAGCTGGGAAGAGAAGAAGAGGATTCATACCTTTCCCAAGTGTATTAGCACGTAAGTGAATGTAATGGATTCGACTGGAATTGAAACTCGGCTCTCCGATTCCTCAATCCAAGCCACTTTCCATTACTCCACCGTGCCTCCTCTGAAGAAAGAATTACTGATCCAATAATCCTATTGTTTTCAACAGTTATTTTGCTACTGAAAAATGTTAAAAATTTTGGTGTATATATTTTAAGTATGTTGAATCTTTTTTCTCTCTATCTGATATTTTATCTGAAAAACCAAACTTTGAAAATTGAATTTTTATAAAATAATCAATCATTATCAATAATTTAGAGAAACAATCAATATCATTCAGACATTTATTTGGATGACTGAACTTGGTACCTGTATTGTTAATGTATTTCTCACATCTTTTCAGCTGATCTATTCAACATCTTCTTCAGTTTGTAATGATGATCATCATCACACACATACATACATACATACACAAATTCAAATTATACAACAACAAGCATTCATTGGATAATAAATCAACACTACTGTGTAATAGACAATTTTATAATCGCTATATTTTCATGTAGACGATTTCGTGCACTTTTGGGAGAATCGGACCCCAGGAGTTTTCGTGAACCTCCCCAAAGCTCGCTCACTGATTGGTCAATGCCAACCAATCAGATTGCCTGCACGGGAAGAGTGATTTTTCCCACACAGCGCTTTCAGTGCCGATGATCACTTATATAAGCAAAGAAAATTCTTAGTTAAATAGTGAGATTTCAGCTGCCAAACGAATCCATGGCAGTTGAAACCATGCGCCAATCTTCTCACTCACACCACCATTCACATACTGAATATTCCCTATACTCACATAATATTTTATCTTACATAGCAAAACTGTGGAAAACATTTATTACCAGAAACTATTACAACCTTATGCTTTCAGTGAACTTTGGAACAAATAATAGTTAAAGACAGACAACTCTTGTTTTACTCAATGCATGCTTTTCTTTCACATCCTTGTTTGCAAATCTTGTTAAATACAAATTTTATGTGTAATGATGTATTTGGTTTATCCTCTTTTTCTTCACGTCAGTTTGGTTTCCTAATCTAAGTTAAATTAACGTGGTGAAGTCCGCCACAAGTTATTCTAATGGAAAGAGAAAATTTTTTTTCTAAAATGTTAAGCAAAAAAGAGCAACAAAGAGAAAGTTTTTAAAATTGTCTAAGTTATTCTGTTTTTTTTTTAGCAATACGTACAGACAACAGATGCCATCATTTATTTGTGTAAATGTCCATAGTTCCTTTCTTTCTGTATACGGTATCCCGGTTGTTGAACAGGGAAAATCACTTTGCATTGGAATCCACAATAGTTTGACAAGGATTAACAGTTTACTGGAACCATTTTTAAAATTCTCATTTTGCTACCATTTTCTACTCTGTAATATAAATAACAAAATCCCTCAAAAACTCTTTCATCACGAGTAGAACGCATGAAGAAGGCCTTTGAAGTCCATTGTACAGAGAACAAAATTCAAAGAATGATTTGCATTCCAATCGTAATTTTTAAAATCATTTGGATATTTTTTCATATTTATGTATATTTTTTTCTTTTTCAGGCATGTTGTTGGCCTTTTCCTTTAATGCCAAGAAACCTGATGGCAGTGACATATGAACAAACAACTACATTTTTATTTCAAGCAGATACTGTTAATAATTCAGTATTTACAATCGCAACAAATAATGGGCGATAACTCTGGCACAGCAGGTCTAGATTTACTAGACTTGAATACATCACAACATAAAAGCTGCTCTGGCAACTCCAACTTTTGTTGGACTACGAAAAAAAAAAAAAAAAAAAAGCAAAAAAGAAAGAAACAAAGAAAGAAACAAAGAAAAAGAAATATCTGGAATGAAAAATCGGTTTCATATTTAACCAACGAGTCATTAAACTGAAAAAAGAAATTTACTCATTTTTTGATCAAATATTTATCTGTCATAAGATTAAAACTTAACCAACACCTCTCAGTTGACACTTTTTAGAGTAAAACTGATAGAATTATGAAGAAAAAAATGTCTAATTATAATTTTTGAAATGGTTTTAAGTAACTAATTTATTCAGTTTTAAAGCTAAAATGTATTTATAACAAAACTTACTCAAAATTTGTAACCTTGAAAATTATTGAAATAATTTTTTAGTCTTTAATTATAAATCTGAAATATTTCTATAAGCATCAAATGGATGTCCAAAGGGGTATTTTTTTTGTATTTAATAAAGTGGAAGAATTTTTAAAATTATTATTAAATTTTTACTTTTAAAACAGATATGAATTTATTCTTTTTAAGAAGAAACATTTTATTTGTAAAGGCTAGTAAGAGTGCATGTCTAAAAACACAGAGTATAATGGTGATAATTTGAGTAAGTTTGTACTATCCATCTATAATTTAATGCACCCTTGTTTCAGATTTATTATCTGTGGGTCATGACCAATGAACGAGTGATATGAGAGAAGCCATTTTAAAACTTGCTGCCATTAATCTACCTGGATAATCTACCTGGATATTGCTAGCGGATATGAAATTTTACAACTTAAAAATGTTTGTACTAAATTCAGTTTTGATCGTTAATTAATTTTGGGATATTCTTTTACAGCACAAATGCTTTCTGGAATTGAAAAAGCAAACATGCAAAGCATTTCGCACTCTGGCAAGAGCAGAATAACAATGGAATTTTAGTTTACATTTGGTAATCAATTTTCAAAGAAAAAATTCCTTTGAAACAAAATGATTATTTTGTAAAATTTTCTCATTTTCAATGACCTTCTCGTTTTTTGTTTAATGTTAGATTTTTATATTTGAAAACCAAAAAAAAAAAAAAAGAAAGAGAAAAATTATGTCAATATTTAATTTCAAGTTTTACTTTGTGAATATTTGGAAGAATTTTTGAAAAAATGTACTTACTGAATGTATTAAACATGTAACTTGAATCACCAACTACACCATGAATTACCATAAATAATCTTTGCATAATTTCATTTCACATAATATATGTTGTGTTTCTTCATCACAATACAAATCTTTTCATTCTTGAAGATTGTACACCAAATATGTGTTTCTAGCTTTAAATATATGCTTTTTTTATGTATATTATGTAAATTTAAGCCAATTCTAAGAAAAACATATCAGTAAATATGTTTACAGCAAAATAATAATTCTACTGATTTATATTTGTGACATTTGCAGTGGGGAAAATAGTTTTTACATTTATTTGTAAAAAGAATTCTTTAAATTATTAAATGAATATTCAGAGTGTGAAAAGAATCTTTTTCTGGTTGAATGAATCTTGCAAAAAGTTAGACAAACATTTACAAGAATGTGGACTGTGAGACTCTGGCTGATTTATTTAGTAGATAAACTAAATTTAAAGATTTCTTTTTGGATGAGCCTTTTTTTTTGTTTGCTTTTTCATACAGTTTTTTTTTTCTTTTGAATAAGGTTTTCATATAGAGTGTGATTGAAAAATATTTTAACGAAAATTGAAAGAAAGAAAGTAAGAAAGAAAGAAAGAATAAAAGAAAGAAAGAAAGAAATAATGATAGAAAAAAGAAAGAAAGAAAGAAAGAATAAATGAAAGAGTAAATAAAAAAGAGCCAAAATAACTGAAAGAAAAATAAGGAGGATATATATCTATATATCTATATCGATCTAATGTATATATATATATATATAGTTTATGAAAAAATAGGTAATCCGTATGGGTAAACCCAAGGAGGATAAAATATATATATATAAAAATATATATATATATATATATATATATATATATATATATATATATATATATATATAACGATATATAATTTTGTATAAATTTATATATCAACAAACAGTATTTAGAAAAATATGAAGAACTGGAAAGTTTTTTTTTGTGATGCGTTTCATCCATTGGGATTTCATCAGACTGGGTTTTATTGACTTTGTTCAAAATTCTTTCAAAAATATTCTTTCAAAAAATTTGTAACTACCTGCAGCTCTCATTTTGTGTGCATGTGTAGATGTGGCGACTTCAATAAAGCCCAGTACAATGAAATCCTAACTGATGAAATACCTCACAAAAAACCCTTTCAATTTGCCCTATATATATATATATATATATATATATATATATATATATATATATATATATATATATATATATATATATATATATATATATATATATATATATAAGGTTTATTTAAAGAGAAAGCATGAGAGAGAGAGAGATAGAGTGAAGGAGAATGAGAGAGAGAGAGAGAGAGAATAAAGTGGTGTTTTTTTGTTAAAGTATAGCCTGATTTTGTCATTCGGGAGAATTTAATAAAAATAATAGCAAGTGATAAAAAGATTATTGGTACTTACTTCAATTACAGTAATAAATAAAAAAGTTCTTTATCATGAGAAAAGAGCAACATTCATTCTCTCTTGACAGTCTAAACATTTCAATTCCTTGCTATCATGACAGATTCTTGCTCTCTCTCTCTTTTCCCAAATGAAGTTACTTGTGTCTCTGCAAAATCAATGAATTCTTACTTATGTCAAATCAAAAAAAAAGACAATAAAGTAGCCATTTTAATTCTATCTTCCTTGTGATTTATGATACTTGGAAGTTTTTAAGAAACACATCTTTGAGAGTTGTTTTTTTGTATTTTAAGAGGAAATTTTTAAAAACTTTTAAATTATAATTACCAACAATATGAATGTTGTCTGAAGTCAATAGCAACAGTCATTCTTTGATGAATCTCTCAAACCAGAATCCTTGCCTTTGATTGATGATTGACATGATTTAAATGGTGTAGCCTTTGGCTTTTTTCAGATGTATTCTGTTCCAAACAAACAAAAAACATATATGCCTGAAGAAGCTTAGTAAGACCACAAACAAAAAGATCAAGATTAAAACAACAAAGGTGAGGATACTAGTCTGGATGCATCACTGTTTGACTTGTGGCAGAAATTGAAATTGAAAGAAATTTAGACAAAATGTAAAAGACTTTTGGAATTCTTAAAGAAATAAACGGTTGAATGGATTTGAAAATATTTATCGTAAATAAAAATTTTTTTATCATGTTTTTTTAAAGCAATGAAATATATTAAATATATAAATAATATATGCATATTAATATATATATAATAATTATGTGTATTTTATGAATATAGCAGACACACAAACAACACACACACACACACACACACACACACACACACATATATATATATATATATATATATATATATATATATATATATGAGGTGTTACTGAAAAGTTCTCAGACTTAGCCACCCTTTTTTCAAAATCAGTCTTTTTGATGATTTGTCCTTGAAATACTGATTTTGGAAGAAGTAGGCCAAGAAAGTTTCCATATATATATATATATATATATATATATATATATATATATATATATATATGGATGGAAAAAAAAGACAATTGGAAAATATTTCTTAGTCATTGATGACCATACAAAACATTTCGCTTTTAAACTTGACTTGAAAAAGTCTGATTAACGAAATGAGTTAGCAATAACTAACAAATATTTCCATTTATATATATATATATATATATATATATATATATATATATATATATATATATATATATATATGAAATAATGATATATTTTTATATATCAAGAACAGTATTGAAGAAATTTTAAGAAAAAATTGAAAAAGTTTATTTGTTTTTCCATCTTATCTTACAATATATATATATATATATATATATATATATATATATATATATATATATATATGCTTTGTCTTTTTATAAATTATCTTTAGTATTTGGTTCTGGTTTGATGCTGATTAATAAAAATGTATTGAAAGACAAATAATTTTCAAATTATACAAAAATTCAAATACACATATACAGGAATACACAGAAACACACATATATATATACACACACACACACATATATATATATATATATATATATATATATATATATATATATATATATATATTCATGCAGCTATATAAGCTCAAACTAAATTTTTTTTCTTTACTTTATGTTCATAAATGTTTTTAAAACTAAAATTGCTAAGTCAGTTGTTGATAAAGAATTTAACTTTCTGTGTCAATGTCACCTGACTTAAATTTTTAAATCTGAAAATCAATTTTTACTTTTGGAGAGGTTATCCTCATGACACATTTTCTAAAGAAGACAATTTTATTTCAAATCATGGCTTTTTTAAAAATATAAATTTGTTTGAATGTATCCTTCATTTAATTGAACGTCTTTAAATGTAAAGTTTAATTTATGCTTATAAAAGACATACACAAACACATTTATATATATATATATATATATATATATATATATATATATATATATATATATATATGAATATATATATGAATAATTTTCTATTTTCTTAAAAAAAAAAAGAATAAATAATTGTGAAAAGGCTGTTTTTCTTTAACAAGTTATAAACAAACTATTTTTCTTTGTTTTATTTTGTATGTGGTTAAGCTTATCTAAGAATTATTTATGATACTGCTTCCGTCATCTATGAATGGATATGACATCACAGTAACATAACAGTGATGTCATGATGCTGTAGTACATAACACTAAAATGCAACGAAGCTTTTCTACCAGTGGTGTCACTTTTTGATTTGATTTTCCCTAAAATTG